CCCCAAAACCCCAAAACCCCAAAACCCCAAAACCCCAAAACCCCGCAAATCAAAATTTTCTTGATTTTTTTATTGAAAAAAATTAATAACAAATATATAGTTAGCTTCCTATATATTTTTGGATAAGGTATAATTTCTGCTGAGATATCAGTTTCTTAGGAATTCAAGAAGGGCAACAAAGTTGAAAGTGAAATTCGGACAAACCCTCTTGGCTATAGAGAGTTTATCTTCTCTTTTTATATCTTGAAAATCTATTATTTTAGCTGTTTTTTTCTTCTCTGGGTCACAAAAATCTTCTGCCCATTCCCAATCCTCATCCAAGGGGAAAATAGGAGCTACAACTTGAGCTGGATTTTAGAAATCTTGACTTAATAAAAATGGATCAAATCCCCATTTACCAATAGCAGCTTGATAATAATCTAATAGTTTGTCAGGATAATCAGATTCTCTGTATTTTTTAGCATCTATAAGCAGCACATTGTTCGTAAAGTATAATAAATCATTAGGTAAATCCTTCATAACCTTATTTTCATCCCAGCCTTTATTATCGAAAAATCGGCAATGAGGTACCATTGCTTAAGGAAAGCCCTTTATATCTGTATTTTGAAGTTCTTTCATATCTGAATTGAATAGGCTGCATTAATCTGCATCTCTATATACTATTCTGTCTAAGTGGTGAGGAATACTATTGTCTAAAAATAAGATCCTGTATAATAAAATGATCCTCTTATAATTCTGATCTTAAAATGCTACATCATGTGGCCAAGGATAGTTAATGTACTCCATTTCGAAATCATATATTGTAGCAAGTTTTGCAAGCGCTAATTTGAGGCTTGGACTACTAAATGTTCCCTCCCAAATTAAGAATCTAAAATTATACTAAGAATAGTCTTCTAGATTTTACTTAATCTGATAAAGTACCAGTTTTTCAAACAAACTTCCAGAGGCTGTGTAGTACATATTAACAGTTTCATTCTTTTTCCTTAGATTGAGATTCTAAAAGTTATAATTAGACTTAAATGAATCAAGCTCTGAAGATCTGAATATTACAGAATCGTAACCTGACTGAAATTCAAATTCATCTAGCTAGCCATCACTTTCTATTACTGATGAGTAATCTAATTGTATAATCTCTTAGGTATTCTCTCTCATCAAGAAATATCTTCCTGGAGAATGTAGAATTAGTTATAGATACTAATGAAGTATGGAGTAAAATGTTTGAATAGCCTTTCCTGATCCATCTATTAGCATAAATCTTTCTTTTTTATTCATTAAATTTCTACTAAGAGGGTTAAAAGGATTGCTATTAACTTCACCAATCTTGATTAACTGATTTACTCTTTTCTGATAGAACTAAATATGAGGATTTCTCTCTGAGGGATTTAACTTTCTTAACTAAGATAGAGAAAATACTAAACTATATCCTGACTTTCCAAACAAAGAATTAGATTATATATTTTGCATTTTTTGAAGATCATCTCCATAATCTTCTAACTCATAGAATGGAGAAAGCTCATTAGTTATAAATATTTGTCTTCTTGATTGAACAATATCTATGAAATAGCTATCATATTTTCGGCTAAGATTAGTTATTTTATATTATCCCTTTGATTGTGTATTGCTTTACTAATCTTTAAAGAATAGTCTAAAGAAATTGTAAGGCAGATATTTCATTTCTATCCCAACACTTCTTTAAGTAAATAGAGCAAGTTCTATTTTTAATCCTAGACCTAACTAGTTAATAAGGGATATAAAATTAACTGCTTCTCTAGTCATTACATTAACTTTAGCCTTAAAGCTAAGAATTGGATTAGGCACTGTCTTTAACTTTCTTAAAGATATTGTCTTATTCTATGCAACATTAAATTCTTAAAGGCAATTGAAATCATCTGATATTGAGGCATTCACCTTAACATATTCAGTTATTCTAATCTCATTGATAAGTTTAAGTTTTTAAAGATTATCCTTAAGTTGTACTCTTTCTAATAAAAGATTAAGATGGTTTTTTTCGTTTTGAATCAGCCTAAAAAATCTATATTTATTCATTCCGAAAATATCTACATTTAACCCATTAACAAATAGGTAAGTTTTTTAACCAAGAGAAAGTTATCCAATAATCAAGTGATTGTTGAAGTTCTCAACAATTTCAAGTATGATTTGTTATTTGACAGAATTAAGTTGGTTTACCCATTCTTTTATGTTTTCTAAGAACTCGATATCTTAAGACTAAACATGAATAATCACAAGCGATTGCTGAGTAATTGTGTCTGGAAAATCTAATATTTTTAACTTCGCAATTGAATTAGAGTCTTATTGTAGATATTAATTTCTGATATCGCCTTAGTAGTGCTCTGTTTGGTACTTATATATGCTTAACTATCGTAAGTAAATATCGAATAAGTTAGAAGTTTAAGTATTGATGAGATTTTCTGGTATTTTCAGTTTTATAAGCTAATCAATCATTATACTTTTAAGTAAGTCTATGATATTTCCTTATTATTCCTTATTTAATGCTATTGCCTTCAATAACTATTGCTAATTGATTACATTTTGATTTATCATCATAAAGGGAAATTCACAAATACTATTGTCTTAGCAGAGATCATGAGATTTTAATATTTTGAGTTTTTTAATCTTATCATCATTTTAATTATCTATATTATTTTGCTAAACTCTGCAGAACTCAATGGGATCTTCTTTGAATAGTTCTGGGAGAAATTCATAGTTTAACTCTTTTTCAAAGAGAGTAGTTAGGCATTTATAAACATAGCCAATTTAAGTTTCATCATCAGACTTAGAGTTTACTATTATAAGCCTCATTTCAAATTCTATGTGATTCTTATTTATTTCAGCTAATGATCTCAGAAAGTGGTATTAGTCTTATGAATGAGACAAATCTAGAATGAGTAATACTTGCATAAGCCCAGGCTGAACTTTGATATTAGAATAGTTTCCTTGCTTGCTTATTTATTATATCAATTGATTAAATTTTGATAGATCTAATCTATTCTTATTCTTTCTTAGAGTTAAGTATGAATTTTATTCTTCTAAAAGAAATTTTGGTCTGAACACTGGCTTTTTATGGTCTATTAGCAGTATATTTTGGTAAAGTTGTTATGGATTTTAAACATATTCACTGAAAATAATTGATTCTTTGAATGCTTAAATTATTTGGAGATTCATATAAATTGGATCTGAGGAATGTCTATTCAATCTCACGCATTTATGGTTAACAATAAAGAACTACTCTTTAGTTACAATGCCAGTGAAGTTAAGGGCTTATTCAATTGGGTCTGTGTAGTTCAAATCGATAATAAATGATGGATGATTCTCTAAAATCCAAGCTATCTCTCTGATTTCATTAGAATATCTTGTTAAATTTAAAATGTATTACTGATAAGGATCGAATAAAACATGTAGTCTATTTTTGTATATTGTTTGCTTGTATCTCAAAAAAGTTACCATCAAATCTCCTGGAGATTTAGGATACTTGTAGACTTTAATATCAATTGCAATACCTTAAAAATTTTCAGTATCATTGGTTTTATAATGAGGGATATCAATATGATGTTCATTCATGCTAAAACATTCTGTAAATTTATATCTTAGTATGATATTTTTGTGCGATAATTTGTTAAAAATTTCTATGGCATCTACTTGCTTTAAATCCATATAAACTATAAGTATCTCTGGATCATTTAGATTACTGAATAGTATTTTATCTTTCCTAAAGTCTATTGATTCTTTCAACATCTCATCTGGCAGTAAAAGTTGTTCACTATGAAGATATTAATCTAGTCCACAAAATACTGAAAATTATTTCTATGTTTAGATTTAATCCGAATTATCTTGATATATTATTGATTTAATCCATATAGGGCAGTTCTCTGTTCCATATAGCATAGATTGCTATTTTTCCAATTAATTATAATATTCAAGCTTTGTTTGATCATCAGGGTTGAAATAATATTTTTGCAACTGATTTTAGTTGAAATAATCTTCTCTGCTTTAAAAATTAAGAACAGAAGCCCAAAAGTCCTCTTTGTTTTGGAAATATTAAGCCTCTAAAGCATAGTAAAGTGAGTCCTTAATGCAATATGGTGTTTTAAATGATACTTCAATATCAAGCATTTAACCTGATTAAATTAGAATTAGCAAAGCGCAGATACTTAGGAGATAGTATTACATATTCATTTTTAAAAATTTTATTAATTATTTTTACTAATAAATAATAACCTTCTCAATTGATTTATTAAATATTTGCATTTTCTAATATTTCTAATAAACATATATTCAATATCTATGGGGTTTTGGGGTTTTGGGGAGATCGGAAGAGC